AGGGAAGGGAAGGGAAGGCAGCACCTGGATGTGGCACGGACAGGGAAGAGGCCGGGGGGCACCCAGATAGTGGGGGGCCGGGGGGGATCCCCAGCAAAGCCGATGACCTTCTTGGTGGAGCCTTTGGTGGGGGGGACCCAGGAAGAGAGATGCCCTGGGCAGGGGACACCCAGATGCCTGGCGGGGGGCACCAGCAAAGGGGATGCCTGGAGTGGGGGGGCACCCAACCATGGGGATGCTGGGGGGGGTCAGCCAGCTATGGGGATGCTGGGGGGGCACCCACAAAGGGGATACGGGGGCGCAGCCGGCCTGGCACGAGGTGACGGCCGGGCGGCACCTTCCCCGGCAGCGGGCACGGGCACCGCACGGGCTGCTCCGGCGCAGGGTTTTACCGACCCCGCGCCATGGGAACACCCTTCCCGCCCGGTCCGAGCTCACGGGCACGCCAGCAGCGCGGGCACGGCCGGTGCCACCAGGCCCCGCGGCACCGCGGAGCAGAACCCGCTGCCGCTCGCATGCCGTTCCGGGGCACAAACGGTGGCAATGTGCGAGGCGCCGAGGCCCCGCTCGGCGAGGCCGTTCTCTGGAGGGCGGCCCGTGTCTCGGCACCGGTGGCCGTGGTACCACCAGTGCCACTCGAGGGCATGTCCTGTGGCAGGGGGCTGTGGAGAGCCGTGGGGAGCAGCTGGGGGTCCTGCGTCCCCCGCGTGCCCGCGAAGGGGAACGGCGAGGGGAAAAGCTCCGTGGGCAGCGGGGAGCCGTCCCGAGCGCCAGGCCCTGCTCCAGCGTCCGCTGCCACCAGGGACCACGTTCCACACTCCATCCATCCATCCATCCATCCATCCATCCATCCATCCATCCATCCATCCCATCGGAATTTAAGCGCAATCCATGACAGATATTGGGGAAAATGTCACCGTCCTGGGACGGTGGGGACTGACGTGGGGCAGAGAGCTGAAGGGAAGGGGCCGGTGTCCCGAGAGGCCGGTGAGGAGAGCAGGGCCCTGAGCGCCCGTCCTGGCACCGTGGGGACACTGGGGACATCCCGCGGCCCCCATCCGCTGCAGGGGAGCTCCCGGCCTCACTCACGGACAGCCCAGCTCCGCCTGGAAGCCTGGCTCCGTGTCGCCCGGTGCGTGGGTGCCCTTGTCCCGCTCTCCGTGCGCCCGCTGGTGCGAGAGCAGCTGGCGCTTGGAGCGGAAGCCGCGCGGGCACGCGGGGCAGGCGAAGGCCCTGGGGCGCCGGTGCAGCTTCCTGTGCGTGATGAGGTTGGCCTTGTTGCAGAAGGCCTTGTCGCAGTGCGCGCAGGCGAAGGGCCGCTCGCCCGTGTGCACGCGCTGGTGCATGAGCAGGTTGACGCAGCGGCTGAAGCTGCGGCCGCACTCGGCGCACGTGTGGCAGCGCTCGGGGCCGTGGCTGCGCAGGTGGATCACGAGGCTCTCGCGCCAGCTGAAGCGGCGGCCGCAGCGGCCGCAGGCGAAGGGCCGCTCGTCGCCGTGCGCCGCGCGGTGCCGGCTCAGGCTCGCCTCGTCCTCGAAGCGCTCCTCGCACTCGGGGCACTTGCGGCGCCCGCTGGCGGGCTGGCCCGCGTGGCCCGCGCGGTGCCGCAGCAGGTCGCCCTTGACGCAGAAGGAGCGGCCGCACTCGGCGCACGCGTGCCGGCTGCGCCCGCGCTGCATCTTGTGCGCCAGGAGGTTGCGGCGGTGGCGGAAGGGCTTGGCGCAGGCGGCGCAGCGCAGCGGGGCCGCGGGGCCGCCGCGCAGCCGCTCGTGCGCGTCCAGCGCCGCGCCGTCCTCGTGGCCCTGCCCGCGGGCGCCGCAGAGGAGCGGCCCTGCAGCACGTGCCCACGCGCCGCTCCAGCCCGCCAGCTCGCCCAGCGCCAGCGCCGCGGCCGCCGCTGGCTCCCAGTGGCTCTGCGCGCCCTCCTGCGCCGCCTCCGCGGCCGCTCCAGTGCCCCCGGCCCAGGCAGCTGCGGGAGCAGAAGGGGGACGACGCGTCCGACCCGTCCTCGCCCACACACGGGTGGCGCAGCCGCCCCCCAGCCCGCGCCGTACCTCCCCGGGTGGCACCCGCTTGGTGTCCCCTCGTCCCCACGTCACTCACCAACGGTCGGGGGCTCCGGGGTGCCCCTGTGCCGCTCCCCTTGGGGGTCCCCACCGCAGCGCTGCTCCCCGCCATGCTCAGTTTTGTGGACGAGCTTGGACACGGGGCCAGCCGAGCCTGTGGGCGCAGGGAGCATCGGGATGGGCAACCGGGGCAGCTTCCCGCTCACCGCGCGCCCCAATGTCCCCACGCAGTGTCCTCACCCAGGCAGGCCACCAGGTCGTGGTTGTCCATCATCACCTCCTGGTAGAGCTCCCGCTGCCAGCCCGCCAGCAGCACCCACTCCTCGGGGGAGAAGTACACGGCCACGTCCTCGAAGGCCACGGGCGCCTGCGGGACAAAGCGGCGCCTGCAGCGTCCCCAGGCGCTTCCCGGGCACCACGGATCCCCGGAATCCCGACAGCTGGAAAAGCCCTTCGAGATCGTGGAGTCCAGAGCTGGAGCTGCTCCCCGGGTGCCCTGGCACCCCTGAGGTCCCCGGTGCACCCTGAGGACGGGCGCGTGCGCGGGGTCGTCGCAGGCGCAGGGGGTGGCTCCATCGGGCACGCGCGGCTCCAAATCCCGGAGGGAGCACCCGGGGCCGGTACCGTGCCCGGGCCGCGGGGGGCTGCAGCGCCGGGAGCCAGGATGGGAAAGGGGACGGGGGTCCCGCCGCGGCACCCACCGCCCTCCCTGCAGCCCCCGGCCCGACGGCTCCGCTCGCGCCGCCGCCGCCGCCGCCGCCGCCGCGCTC